TAAATTTTTTTTTTTTTTTTTTTTTTTTTGGAGAACCATTTGAATGTGTCACAGGTAGAGGAAGAATAAATAATAGTGCTGTAGGAGAGTGTAGTGATGGACAGAGCAAGTAGAGAACCTCAGTGCAGATGCTATTGCAGGGATAATATGCAAGTAGTGACACATGCAAAGGTCCTGGTCTCCACAGCAGAAGCAGCCCCACCCACCGAGGCAGCCTCCCCATCTGGCAGCAGCTGCCAGGGTAGGACTCCGGCATAGCAGGTATAGGGTAGGGAGTGGACCCTGAGGAAAGGCTTCAGACAGCATGTGTTCACACAGACTGCCAAAGGGATTGTGCTCTGTAACAAGCTGAACACAGTTTAACAAAGGTGCTCCCAGCTGCCTGTCACTTTTTGGTAGTAGGTCAGGCCACCTCAGATGCTGACACACACAGACCTCCTCAGTGTGATGGGGACAGTAGTAATCCTGCAGTTACTGCAAGTAAAAATGCCTTCTGACGTCCCTTGGGAGGCAGATCCTCTCTGGTCCACAGCCTTTCTCCCTTCTCCCAGCCTCAGTCTCAATCTTCCTGTCCTTTCCCCAGTCAGTGACTTCAGAGAGATGCTGTTAATAGCTCATAGACTTATTGTCCTGCGTTTTCCCGCCTCAGTCTTGGCCTGATTTATCTTTTTCTGGCTTCTCTTTCTTACCTTCTCCTTTAAATTAAGAGCTTTTGGGGCAGCCAGGAGTGGTGGTACACACCTGTATCCTAGGACTCAGTTGCGAAAGCACGAGGGTCTCCAGTTCAAGTCCAGCCTGAGCAAGTCAGCAACTCAATGGGATCCTGTTGTCTCAAAATAAAAATTAAAAAGGGTTGTGGATGTAGTTTAGGGCAAAACCCATAGGTGCAATCCCCAGTGCTGCCCCCCTCCCCCCACAAAAGCTTGGCCTCACTGCTTTTTGCTTTTTTGTTCCTGGACAGCCATTCCTTCTAAGGTCTCAAAGTTAATGGCACCTACCCTGTTACCATCTGACAAGCTTGACTGCTAATGCTTCAGTTCATCCAGAGCACATTTGTGATTTCCCACCCTCTAACTCAGTCTCTTCACTGAACTCTTGGTCAGTCCATGGGAAAGTCTTCCTGGACTTCTAAATGAGTCCTGAAAGACTGGAGGAGGTGGAAGAAGGGGAGAGGCGCTGGGAGCAAAGGCCTCAAAGGGGAGGTGTCAGTATGCATGATACTCTGTGACCTGTTGCAGGTGCCAGATCCATGAGAGAGATTTTGACAAAATGGTCATCTGGTCCAGTTTTTCCCTTTTCAGATGCAGAACTCAGGTCCTGACTTGTCACAGAACCAGCCTCTGTCCTTCCAGCCAGAGCAAGGTGTCACTGGAAAGAGATGTTCATTCATGTGAGATCCAGGCCTGAGGGCAGTATTGGTATCTTACTGAGCTTCAGGTCCAGGGCAGTGCCATTCTTCTGTTTCTCTGGAGCCTTCAGTTTTGCTCCCTCAGACTACCTGGCCAGGCACCAAGGCCTCTGGGCAGGTCTGCTGGGAGCCAGAACAGCTGCAGAGTGGGAAGCCCTATGCCCGCCTCCTTGGTCTCCTGGTGCTCAAGGTAGCCCAGCTCTAGTGGGGAGGGCACTTGGTCAAAGTGATTTGTTCAGGGGTAGGGAGCTCTGGCAGAGCCACTGAGAGCCACAGATGATGGCACTGTCCAACTTGATGCCAGCTCCAGAGCAGGGCAGCTGAATTCAGGTGTGATTTCTGTTTCTTAGTGTAAACAACAAAGAGAGCATTCTTACTTGCTTTTCCCCCAAAGTAAGACAATATATTTCTCAATAGCATACATGTTCATCATAAAAAGTAACTCAGACAGTAACGAAATACCAGGAAGAAAGCACAATCTGACCCATATCCCACCACTCCCATGGGCACAACTGACAGCCAACTGTTAGGCCTTCCTTAGTTTTGTCCATTGTCTATCCCCAGACTATACCACAGGAAGTTCCTTCCTCATAGTTGTAAATTTTGGGGGGGTTGGTATCAGGGATCGAATTCAGGACCTTGCGCTTGCAAAGCAGGTGGTAGAACCACTAAGTTAAATCACCAGTCTCCTAGATTCAGTTTTTAAATGCCACTTCGCAAGGTTTGAACTCGGGGTCTTGCACATGCTAGGGAAACTCCACCACTGAGCTATAACTGCAGCTGGAGTCTTGGCTTCACAAATCAGGTCCCATTACTTTTTCTTAGATACTTGAACCAGCATTTGTTATTTATGTGCTTGTTTACTGCCCCCCCCCATTCTTAGAAGGTAGGAATTGTTTGCCATAGATGGTCAATAAATACTGTCAGACCAACATGCATGTGATCTCATGTAATCTTCACAACTATGAAGAGCACCATTTTATCTCTATTTTACTTTATTTTGAGACAGGGTCTCACTGTGTAACCCAAGCTAGCCTCAAACTCATGATCCTCCTGTTGAAGCCTCCAGTATACTGGGATTGCTGGTGCACACCAGCACACCCGGCTGTCATCTCCATTTTAGAGAGAAAATTGAGGCTAAGAACAATTACTTCAGGAGCTCAAGGCCACACAGTAACTTTAAATGGGTGTGCTTTAAATCTTGACTGACCCCTGAGCATTTGCCTCTCAAAACTCATAGGAAACTTTTTCTTTTTTTTTTTGGTAGGGGGAAAGGGGTAATACTGGGGACTGAATTTAGGATCACCAACACTAAGCTAGTTCTTTTTAATTTAAATTTTTTTTTTTTTTGCGACAGGGTCTTGCCAAATTACCCAGGCCAGACTCAAATTTATGATTCTCCTGCCTCTGCCTCCCAGAGTGCTAGGATTACAAGCAAGATTTGCCTTTGTTGATTCGATAAAAGCCTTTTCTTGTCATTTATGTACCCCGCCCCTTTTGTTTTTGTTTTTTGAGATGGGGGTCTCACTATGTTGAGACTGACCTAGAACTCACTATGTAGACCGGACTGCTCTTGAACTCACAGCGATCTGAGTGCTGGGATAACAGGCGTGAGCCACCACGCCCGGCTCCCTTTTGGTTTTGTTACTAGGACTGGAACCTAGGGCCTTGCACACACTAAGCCACTCTGCCACTGACCTATACCCCAGCCATATGTGTATAATTTTTTTTTTTTAGACAGGGTCTCACTATGTAGACAGGCTGGCCTTGAACTCCCTATCCTGACTCAGCCTCCCGAGTTGCTGGAATTACA